AATAAGCTAAAAGTGTTAAGTTTTTTCTGGGGGATTTGCAGAAATTGCAATTTTTTATGGTGGTTTAAAAAAAATAAGTATTCAGCATTCAATAAAACTATGCCTTATGTGCATGGCTTGGTCATGTAGTTCATATTTTGATGATTTTTAGTAAGGAATAAAAATGCCCGAAAAGTAGATTGCATTCAATGATTCATTGATATTGATCATGTGTCATTGCAACTTATTATTATGGGACTTGTCCTCTGCATTTACTCCATCCCTTAAAGGAGCAGTGGTCTACCAGAGAGCAGCTCTGGGGAAACTCTTTGAATAAGGGTCTGGATTTGGGAGCCAGAATTGCAATCTGTGGGATTCCAGCTTGTGAACTTGCAACTTTTTCAGGATACTAGAGGCTTGCTGTAATTACAGTTATATTTCTTCACGTGCAAGATAAAGTTCATGCTGTTGTTTTGATGACTAAAATTAACCACAACTGTTACTTGATGATATAAAATCAATACTGAAGAGCTGTTCTTCTTCTCCTATAAGTGTGTAGTCTTCCAGACACAACCACCTAATGTTTAAATAGCAGCCATCAATCAGGTTTTCAGTAGGTGTTCAGTAATTGAACTAATAGATAGATTTCATCACTCATTTTCCAACTATGACGCAGGAGTCTCATTAGTATTGAACTGCAGATTCACTGCCAACTCGATATCTCTATTATTAGATTGTGACAATACTTTTGGAAATATAGACAAGCACTCCTTTAATCCACTTCTCTTAAGACAAGGCAGAAATTTTTGGACCAATAGGACAAAATTCTTACCATGCTGACAGTATGTACATTAAAAATACAGAGAACCCAGTGATATTGCTATTTACAAGAACAAAAGTAAAAAAACAAAAAACAAAAGAAAAACTGGTGTTTGGCCATGTTAATGACAGGGTCTTAGGCAGTACTACTTTGGTGACAGTTCTGGTTCTGTGGTTCAAATGGCACTGCTGGCTTAAAATAACTTTTGCGGACTATTACCATAGGAAAAATGGGGACTCAGAACTTCTGATTATTTCATTCAGTAAAATGAACCGAGGGAGCAGTTACTGTTCTAGTGTTTAACATTATTTTCTAATCATGAGCAATGCTGTTTAAGCTAAAAAGGAGAAATATTGTATTGTTGTCAATATTATACGCCTTGGTTTATAGAGGTGAACAGAAGTCATCATTTGGCAAGAATTAATTTGCAGATGTTTTAAATTCTCTCCATGCATGCACTGTTCTCTCAGTACCCTAGTTTCCTAGTTTTCTTCAACATTACACCATCTGCCTCCTCCTCCTCAAATCATTTCAGTGTAAAAAAAGGTTTTATTCCAGAATTTGCCTTCATCTTCCCATGATCTCATGTTCTTTCTCCCTGATAATGGTGGAGAAAAATGTTTTTAAAGCATGGTCCAATGCCTCTCCTCTGGGATAATGTGTTCAGGGTGATGTGCAGTTTCAGATTTCCATCACACACAGTGCTAAATTTGAGCCTTAGTCGACAAAAACACCTGCTTCCACATGTATACTGTGTCAGCTATACTGTTTGTGGCAATTGGAAAATGCGACTAACAGGCACGTTCATACTTCTTTGGGATTTTTTTAGCTAAACTACACTTTTCCATTATCAAATGATGAACTGAACAATGCCTGGCTTGTCTGGTGTGTTCCTTGCTCTCCAGCAAACTGAGGCATCTGCAGATAAAGATTGAGTTATAACAAGATTTATGATATTAAATAATTTGTTAAGTTCTGATGGTAATTAGTTGGTAATTGGTCATTAAAAGTCATTATCAAGTAAATTAAAAACACAGACCATTTTCTTGGCTAGTGCTTTGTTTTGAGTTGTCAAATAAAATCTCTAGCACAAACAATGAAGTCTGTTGTGCATAATGGGGAATCTCAGTCAGGTATGAGGCTATATAGGTTGATTAGATAAATAAGTGTAGCAAATATGAGCTCTAAATAAGCACTATTGGCATCATTCAAACACAGAGTTGTCAGAGTGTTGACCATCATGTGCTCGTTACAAGGTTTTCTCACTTCGCCGGTAATGAGTTGCTGGCTCCTACTAATGCAGTGAGCATTATCAGCAGGTGTGCTAAAACTTGAATTCAAATTCATAATCTGTTCAAAGCATAGCGTAACTCAGCCAGGTAACACTTGACTTATTATGCCAATTAGTCACGCCATTACTTATATAAAAATTAATCCCTAAATGCAGTTTAAATACCTGAATAAATCAGACATAGCCATTGAATAATTAGTGTCACAGTGAGACGTTGGGATAGGTTTGTTGACAGTTTCATAGAGGGTTAGGGTTCATATATATATATATATATATATGTATATATATTTGTGTGATGTAATCTCAGCATAAACTCTTTGTTTGGTGAAGGCATTTTTTTTTTTTTTTATAACATTTTGTAAGCTTTGAAAGTTCTTTACATGCATTATCTGAAAAGGGAAGGAGTATAGCCTGGGTCAAACCAAAAGATTCTTTATGAACCTGTACACTCTATTACCTCTGAAAGGCATGGCGAAAACCGTACAATGATATAGGGAATATTTTTCTTTGCAGAAAACCAGAAAATAATCAGTTGAAGTGAAGATTAATGGACCAAAATACAGGGCAAGAAAATCTAAAAGAGGCTGTAAGAAACTGCAACTGGTTAGTCTTCAAGAGAGACAGCAAAGATAAACATATAGCCAGAACTACAAAGCATGATATATCGTATTCAAAAGTATTTTCATGTCTAAAAATGGCTGATACTAACCTAAATTTTAGATAAAGTAACCAGTAAGACACATCTAGACAGATGTTTCTCCACTTGTGCAATGTTCATAGATAGCATGTTATTTCTTTTGACTTATACTTATTACTTTGTATTAAACTGTTACATAAAAGTTTCCAAAAAAGATTTGGTTGTAACATGACAAAATCGAAATAAAAAGAGATTCCACTAATTATGCAAGGTGCAAAACATTTGAAAAAAAAAATTGCTTTGCATTTTTAATAATTTCAATTTTGCTCTGATGCTCTTTAGCAGCCCTTTGCCAACCGTTACTATGCGCCAAGAGTTTAGCATGTTCTCATTATCTTTTGAGGCAAGCAATGTAATCCAAAAGCAGTGCTTGCAAAATTTAAGCTCTGCTGAGTTTAAAAAGCCTAATGTCCCAGGATATCTGAAATCAGCTGTTTTAAAAGGAACTCATAAAAAAAATGAGATCAGCAGGGCAGAAGGGTTTTATCGGTCAAAGCTTCAGCCATAGTAGCCTTAGATCACGCTTCTGTCTGACCCTAATATCCTCTGCCACTCATGCTGGCCTCTGGGTCACAGTCCAGAACAGGCAAACCGTCCAAAATACGCTGAGTCTCTCAATCCTGCTGCCATCGGACATTGTGCTTTGCACCCGAAGCAGATCATTGAACATGTTTTTCCACTTTTCATAGAATCCTCCACGTATTCGGTTCATTCTTAGAATTCATGCTGCATTTTTCCTTCAAGGCACGCATAATCTGCTGTGATTGGTTTGAGAATTTTACTTACATAATGTCTTTAACAGTTTTTTTCTAAATAATGGTATCATAAATTCAGTCTTTTAACAAATACAGGCTTGACTCTGATTGGAAGTGACAACCGTCTTTATTCTGTGGATCACTCTCAGCAAAGGCACATTGACTCACTCTACAGATTCTTATATGTTCTGGCATGTTAGCATAAAGTGAACGCTAACCACCTCTATAAGCTTTTACTGTTTATGCAGAAAATGTCCCTAAAATAGATATTTTTCATTCTTTGTGCCATGGGGTAATATTTTTACTGATTGTGCTTTTACTTACCAGGCTTCCAAATGAGATTCAATTGAAATGTAAAGACTGTGAGACCATTTTGATTTTAGATTATAATATAAGCCCCTTTGTGGCAATTTGCTCAAATCAAATTAGTCATCTGGCATTTAGAGGAAATATCTTTAAAGAACGTGTTTGCTGTCATGTTGTCTGACACAGTTTTGCTCCAATCAGTATTCACAAAGATGATTACTCAACTGCTTTGAAACACTCCTTTTCTCTGAACTGGTGTAGATGCATAAAAATATAAAAAATAAACCTCCATGGATCAAATATTAGGTTAATTTGCTCTATGTTTTTTCCAGAAAGAGGCGAGTGATTTCTTTCTTTTTTTTTTTTTATGAGCAATGTCTCCTACTAGCTGGGGTTGTAAAGCTATAGTGATTTTTCATCTAATGATGGAACTGATCTTTGCTGTTCTCTCAGTTATTGTTTCATTTCCAAAACATTAGGATTTGCACAGGACGTGATATTAGGCAGTTATTAAACTGGGGACGTACATGCTTCGAGTTCTCTGATTGATTTACAGAACTGTTTTACAACATCTCATGTGGAATTTTTTTTTTAAACAAATTTTGACTAATAACATATAAGATGCAAACATTTTTTTTGAACTTTTTGATGTCAGATTATTATTTTAGATATTGGTTCCAGTGGTAAATCTTCTAAATCGTCTAGTTTTTTGTTTTTTTTAGCATCACCTCTGTTGTGTGTCAAATGGGTTTGGAGGCTCCTTGTGATCACTGAGTGAGCTAATGCTGCTGAACTGCATCGAAAGGTCATAACAAATCCACCTGTACAGTAGAAGCAGTGTGATGTGCAGCTGTGAGGCAGAGACCTCAGCTGGGGAGGTGGGGGGGGGACACACATTAGGTCCTTAAAATGCAACAGCTGCTCTTGTGGCTCTTATGTTGTTTTGTTAGCATGTTTCTATGTGTCATCTCATCCATCTGGCTCTTTTCTCAAATGCTCTCTCTTTAAACACGGAATGCCTGATATATGATCCAAACATGTTTTTGGGGAAGGGGATTCCTGGACTTCTTATTTGCAAATAATGTGCCCTCTGTAGATACAGGAGGATAACAAGCTCTCACATTCCTGTTTCTCTCCCCTCCACTTTCATCTCCCACCAACATCGCCAACCCCCTCCCTTTCTAGTCACTGGGGCTATCTCTGTCTCCCTCCAAAGCTGTTGTTGCGGTGCGGCTCCTGCACATCATTCCACTGCGATGGAAATTAAATGAAGGTGGCTTAGCACAGCTAACAGAGACATGCTTTGAAGGATGTAACCGGGGGAAGCTGCGCTGCCAGATCCTTTTCCATGGGCTGTGGATTTGTACTGCTGAGGCGAGGACACAGCAATCACTCAGCCATGCAGAGGCTCAGAGAGAACGACTAATCTCTACACCTGACTTCTGGATGCCTTACTTTTTTTCACTGAAATATTAATGGGCAAATAAAAAAACAATGCATTACAATGGTGCCGAAGTGAAGTTCATATTGGATGTGTAGGTTGATTGCAGTCAGCAGCACATATGGATGTGTTCAGCTTTGTCAAGATGCCAAAGCTTTCAGGGTGAGTTCGACTCTCATTCACTAAGCGGACTGTAAATATGCCTTTGCATTTACTGGAAATTTGGCGTGTTTATTCGTTTCAAGGCACTGCTTTAAAGACTCACATGGGATTCACATGTTGAGCTGTCGCCTTGAAAATGCTGAGTTAATGATCTAGCAACTTGTGCAGTCATGTATGATGTGAAATGAATGAGAAAGCGAGGTGGATAGTAGTGGGGGTGGATGATGCTAAAAGCTAGGGTGATTCATTTGTCTACTAAACTGTTGGAATCCAAGTTCATACATTTCTAATGCAGCAAGTCATTATTGTTTTCTCCTTAAGTACTCAGGATTATTACACATTTTGTCATGGTATTATTTCATACTTTTCCAAAAACTAAATTCCCTAAGTTCTCTGGCATTTTTATGCTAATTTCTAAGATATGACTTAAAATGGATTGATGGATGGATGGATGGATGGATGGATGGATGGATGGATGGATGGATGGATGGATGGATGGATGGATGGATGGATGGATGGATGGATGGATGGATGGATGGATGGATGGATGGATGGATGGATGGAAATTCTAGATATAGGAAATTATTTAGATCAAATTCCAGACTTTTTCAGATTTTTCAGTCGGTGTAGGGACATTGATGCTTTATAATGCCATAAAAATATATAGATTAAAGAATTTGAGAAGAATACATGACTGCAATGGTTTGAGATTATGGAGTTATTCAGTTATGTCACATGGGTAATGATGAAGCAAATAAAATTGTAATTACTTAAAGTATTCCACCCCCTAATAATTTTGCATGATAAACTGAAGGTCATCAGAGGACCTATAAGTATAGTAAACACTGGATATGTGTCATGTACTGTATTACTTTGTTGTTGTTGTTGTTTTAATTTTGTTTTTTATTGCTTTTTAAGACAGGACATACATTTGTAAATATCTCTAATGACCACACTTTCTTTTCTTTTCTTTTTAACAGTGTTTTATTCATTAAATGTGCTTTATTTAGCATATTTGGTGTACGTAAACTTGAAACAAAAAAACAAAAGAAGAAAAACTGGTGCATGCATTGTGAGGGAGGACGACTCACCTTGTAAGCCCATGGGTCTGGCAATGGTCAATAATCCTGCCTGAGGATTAGCCTCCATTAGAAACATCACAGACCACTGGTGGAGAGAATAGCTGATCATAAACACAAGATGCTGAATGTGACACATACGTTATGTGTAAAAGGAATGGGCATTAGCAACAGAACCTCACATATGAGTCATCAACACACTGCATTTGCTTTCTTGAGGCCAAGAATATGCAAATAGAAAATAATATTGTTGGACAAAGTTCATAACTGGCCCTTTTTTCTGAAATTAGATTATCACAGAAATATAAACATACCATGAAGAAATAACAATGCTGTCTCACTCCATGACGATATGCCTTACGTGGTTCCCAGTGGACCATCAACGTCACTAAATCCTGTCATATTTGATAATGCCATGCACTGATATTTCTGATCATGACCTAGCTCTGCAGCATTTGCACTTTTCAATGTTATGTTTTGTTTTTTTCCCCTTTGAGCAGCCAGCCAACATTCAACACGCCACCCTGTAAGCTGGCTTGGCTAAACATTTAAACCTGCCTTTCTCTTCTTACCCCCTTTTAACTCACAGAAACATCTATGTTTTCAGAAATAAAAGCATGCATTTACATTCATTTGATACAAAGTGGTTAAGTCTAGATGGATTTGAGCTGCTTAGTTTGAGCTGCTTAGTTGGACAACTTGCGTACTGTATACCTCTTTTACTCCTTGGATTCTCTGCGAGCACTGGAAATGGTGCAGTAGCAACATCAGCACTGATGAGGTTATGAGCAAGAGTCTAACAAATTTACGTATTTATTATCAAGTACCCCTCCGTTGCTATGCTTATTAAATGAATGAGTGAATAGTAACTTCTTCATCATATGGAAAAACAGTTATTTATATTGTAATAATTTATCCTCCTCAAGCTTTTTTATGTTTCCTGAGTGAAGCTTTGTTTTTATTACCTAATACTTGTAGCTACTTGACAAGCTGCTGGTCAGGGAGCAAGCTGGGAGTGAGTAAGCATGGAATATGTAGTGCATAGAAACTGAGACTGCAAAGCATCACCAGCACTGCTGATTTGATATTTTAAATTAAACTATTTAATTACAACTGCACATTGATTTCTTGAAGAGAAATAGAGGAATGATAGAGGGATGGGTTGTGGGGCAGCATGTTTCAGTAGAGAGATCCCTCTCCTTTGACACCTGCTCTAGCTCTTCTGGGGAAAGCCCAATGCTCTCCTAGGCCATATGACAGACACTCCCTCCATTATGGCATGGCCCATCCCAAGCCCCCTCCCTCCTGAAGACATTACCCAGCCACCCTGCTCGCTTGTATCCTGGAACCTTTTTTTAGTTGTGCCCAAAATTTCCTGAACATAGCCGAGGGTATACATAGAATCAACGGTAAATTGATGCTCTTGCTCTATGCCAAGATAATTTAAACTCCTCGGCAGGGAAGGCAAGACAGGTTTATTTGTATAGCTCACGTCACTATAAAGACAATTTAATGTGCTTTACATGAATTAAAGAGCAAATAGAAGGAAAGTAAAATCAGGATAAAGTAAATATTAAAATACAATAAAGGGAGGTAGCTAAAAAAAAGTTCACCTTCCCCAGAATAAGTAATCATTACAAACTATTTTACATCTGACAAGGCTTGCAAGGCAACAGCAATGCACTGTGCAGAGCAGCCAGAAGCAAGCACCTACAGCGTCACAACCACTATCTCCATCCCACTTCTCTCTCACCTACCTACTGCCACTGCACACAGATGTATTGTCTTGTCTTTAATGCCATAGCAGACAGGAAAATGTAGGCATATGTCATGAGAAATGTTGGAAAAGGGACGCTCGACTATGAAAGCTGAATAGGGGGTTTTCAGTGACGTCACTGGCCAGCTCCCGGTCCGCCATCTTGGGTGGCATATTATCGTATATTAAATATATCATGTCGCGAAAGGATAAGTACGCCAGCACGCTAGAGCCACCAGATCATGGAACATATCTGAGGAAATGTTCCGTGATCGACCATATGGACCCCTTTGCCCTCCACGGTGCCTTGTTTAGCACTAATCCAGATGATTGACCAAATGTAGAGCATGGCGACATAGTTCATTACCCGGTGTTCAGTGAAAACCCTCTGCACACTCTTGAGGAAATGAGAGCGTACAAGGGTCTAGAGGCTCACAACCAGTTCACATCTGGTTGGGTACGAGATGTCGAAGTGATGTACATGAAGGAAATCGCCATCATACGTGGACGGGTGAGTTTTAATAAGATGGTAAAAATGTAAACAATCCGACGCAGGGCTCGCTATGCTAGGTGGCTAACGGCCGGCGGTGCGCGAACAGTTCCAAAGCTACAAGTCCTTGGAGTCTCATGTGCAGTTTACGAATGGATGGGTTCAGGAGCTGCAGCTCATAAAGCCAGCAAACAGTGCTAACCATTAGTGCTAACAACCACTCAGGCATGTAATGTACTTTTAACTAGCTGCTATGTGTTTCAAAGGTTTGGTTAGTAACGTTAGCTGCCAAACCAGCCTAAACCCTCCGGGTTTCTCACATATTTGAGCCTTTTCCCGCTGGTTGAAATCAAGTTAAGGTGAAATTAATCAAATTAAAACATGGCTGAGAGAGGGAGTCCAGTACGCGGTAGTCATAGGCAGTAGTCTGAGTAGCGGCGGCGGAGGCAGTCAACATTGCGGCCACGGAAAGTAATACGTCATGACGCCCAAGCCCTATTATTAATATATTCTTACATGTTTTAAATGCTTGACAGTTAATTACCTGTGACAAAGTGAGCACTGCAGACTCTGGCGTGTTCCAGCTTAACAGCGTCCAAATCGGACCTGGATATCCGTGTCAGCCATAGGTGACGGCGTTGTTCAGATAGCTATTTTGTTTTTTCACATTGATTCACGATTACGACTGGTATGCGATAGAAAGAGCGTTGATCTCCACCTCCACGGGCCGTACAACCAACAATTACACACGATTTCACCATTTTTCACTGTCAATACTGCCTAAGGCTGCCACCCAATATGGCGGACGCGCTGAGTAGTCACGTGAGCGTGACGTCCCCTGAAAACCCCCTATTGTGTGTGTAGACTCCATGCACTCAAGTATGTGGGGGCTCCTTCAGGCTTTTTTCCCCCCATTATCTGCTTGCTTTATTAATTTTTCTGGTTAGTGTTTAATTAACTTAGATATTTACAAATTCAACATTAGCCTAAATCTGGTGTTAACAGGATTTGGTCAATTATATTTGGTTAGCTGCATAATGTCGCCACATTAACATGGAATGACCGAATTAATCAATCCAATGTTTCTCTCAGCGCATTAATTAACTGTTTTTCATGGGAACACATTTTAGAAATACTTTGTCCAACATCAAAGCGTGCACTTAATAGCTTTAAAACATCTATGGGGCCTTTGTCTTCTCTGTTGGCTCATCATTAAACTATAGCTGTTGCTTTTTTTGAAAGCTTATGGGTGTCTGTGTTGCTGTGGTTTATAACAAAATCCCTCATGGCATCCAAGCGTCTTATCACCCTGCATCACCTAACTATAGAATCTCCTTATTTAACTAGCTCACTAATGAAACAAACACCTAATTGGCCATGTTTTTTTCTGAAACTATCTATGAATAGTTTAATAGGAAGAAAAAAAACAATAGATGACTTGAACTTAACATGACTGCAATAGGATGAGTGTTTGCCTTAACCAGGGCTGTTTTCTCACATTTATTGAGTGCAACAAAAAAAAAAATCACAAATAAAATGTCAGCATGTTATAGTCAACATCATCATTACACTAGCTGGGACTAGTCACAACAGAAGACTTCAGTGCTGTGAATGGATTTTCACCTGAGTAACCTAGGTAAATGATTAGAGTAGTGTTCCCCTCACAGCCTGGACA